AATTATCATGCTGTTATTTCTCAATTATTGACATGTGTAAGCCAACATGAAGTTATAAGGACCTATGTGAAGTGATACTGAACCACAGTGAAAGAAAATATGAACTATGTGAGGTCATGTTCATTTTTTCTCTCTGAGCTCGAAATATCACGACATGGGTCCTTATATAAACCACATTTTGGCTAATATTTTGATAGTATGACTTTTAGGGTGAGCACAGATAATTGACGTCCAGTTTTCATTTAGTTCAGACTTGCCAAACTGCACGTGACATTCGGTGCGTCTTTTGTATGTTGCTTTACCAAACCAAAGCCTGAACAGGGCTATAATTTCAATCAGTTGATGACTTTTTTTCTGCAATAAACAGATAAATTTATTAAATGAAGACAAGTTTATTATTAAAGACGTACAACACACTGGGGGAGATAACTCTTGCAATTTCAATTGACTTGACGTCAAGTTTAACGTAAAAAATAAAGCGTCAAAGCGACGAGTAAAACGATCCCGATGTATATCAATCATGAAAGAAAATTGGGATATGGGTCTTGGCTGTAATTGTGCGTACCATACTCAATCAATAAGTAATTTTTGATTAACCCGATTAAACTCCGTAAAAAGCAAGATATAAAATACAATCCCTTAATGCTTATTTCATTTCATATACAATAAATTGTATTTTTGATCAAAGCGCAGCATTTTTTTTTTATTCTACATTGCCGAAATTCTCATTATGTACAATTGGCTATGTAACATTCCGGTTAATGGTCTACATTACAATTTGTCCATACACGATATGTATAATTATATTGTTTTCCTTCTTTAATTAAATAAAACAACAATAAAGAAACGATTAACTTTTTACAATGTAAAATCGATGTTGTTCTCAGATCCTTACTGATCAAAGAGGAACAACTCTGAAAATAAAGGAGATGTTTATTTTCCTCCCTTTTTTTCAAGGTTTTCCACGGAATCAGATACATTTCCAGCAAGACCTGATAAATCTGACAATTGAATACTATAGACCTCATATACACAATGTAAGTAATAGAATTGAAAACAATTGTTCACTTGTAATGAAATTATATTCATTTATGAATATCCTATTGCAGCAAATCGTAACTTTAACAAATAATCAACAATGTCGGTTCGCATTTCCTCGAATCAAAACAAACGTAGCCTATAAGATTTTGAAAAACATCAATGTGGGATTTGATATAAATTGAAATAAATGAAGAGTTTAATGTTTGATATTTTAAACTTAATGTGGACGAATACGGAATTTTCATATTAACTTTAGATGCGACGACATTGAAAGAAATGTGTACCCGGTTGTACTTCTAGCCCTGATCTAATGCAAATGACCTTGATCATAGTTGAAACGGCCACATACTGTCTCGTTTGAAATAATGACATGAAAGAAACTACAATTATTCAAATTAATATCACAGAAAAGAGCATTTAATTAAACACATTTTTAAAGTGAATAAAAAATGAAATAAAATTAAAAATCAACATATTCAAGTTTATAAAGATATGGTCGTCAGTGCATGTGAATTGAAATTATAAAATCAAGTTTTATGTATTAAAAGATATGAAATGACACATCGTTTCAAATGTAAAGACAAGAGCGGAGTCCTGATATATTTTTGATTTAAATTTTAAAAAAATATATTACCGGTAATATTTATTCTATAGAAAAATATTTAAGAAGCCACGATCGCGTTGATACATGTAGCATATTGAATACAATGCCCTTAAAATTGTTGTACATCTGTAGCTGATTTATTTGATCATATTTTCCATAGAAGGAAAAGAAGTCAAACAAATATAAATCATACATTACCGTTTAATTTCATTTTGTTGTTCCATTTTTTTTTTCTTTTTACTCCTATAATATCACAAGCATAACTAATTCAGTTACAAAATACTAATAGAATTTTACATAATATACCATCGAAAGCCATAAAATGAAATGACTTCCAATCTTACACGATTCTTTTATTATGTTTTCACACGGTTCATTACACAAAGTCGCACGTTTCTCACACGCCTTTCGCTAGACGGTTTGCACGAAACGCTTTGGAGCTTACACGAAACGGGGAGGGTTTACACGAAACGCTACACGGTTTGCACAAACGCTGCACGGTTTACACGAAAACACGGTTTGCACGAAACGGAAAGCGCACGAAAGCCACACGCTTTTTTGGGGTAGTAGCACGTCTCAGGGTCTGTATTTAGTTAACTTTTGTTTTTATTCTAACCAGAACGTTGCTTTAGCGTTTGTTTACGAAGCGATGCATTGTGGGTCAAAATTACTGTGTAAAAAATTTTATGGAATGAATGTGCAATATAGTCCAAATTTTCTTTTCGCTCAGGCTTTGTCGTTAGAGCTCGCTGTGCTAGTTATAATTGTATTGTTATATAATCACTCAAAGTTAATGAACAGACTTGGCTGTCATTAGGTCAAAATTACCCAAAAAATGCTTCTTATATCTGCATAGTATATGAATTATAACAGACGCCACATTCTACATAACTGTGGTGCAGGCAAACAATGAGCTAAGCAATATCATATTTTGCTGGTAAGCTATTGCATCAGTATCAGCCAATAAATATTTTGTAAAAAAGACTTGTATGAACAATGAAATAGTATACACTTATTTTATGACTATGAGGTAAACAGTCAAACTGTTGTCCTGAGGTAGTGGGGAAGACCTTGAAAAATGTTGCCTGAGGCTGAAGGCCGAGAGCAACAGTTTCCCAGGTCTTCCCCACTACCGAAGAACAACAGTTTGACTGTTTTACTGAGTAGTCATTGAAAAAGTGTTTTATTACCTAACTTACTGTAATGATTAATTGAATTGGAATAAAAACACGCAGACAATCAATAAAGGGTTTTAAGAACTATTTATTCACATACTTGTGTATGAATTAGCTGAACACATAACCTATTGTGCTGCAATACCTCAAAAGTAGTAGCATGTCCAATATTGTTTTTAACGCTCTGATTATCAATTCTTTCAGAGGGCTACATGTATATTATAATTGTTTGTTAAATATAGGTCACGTAATTAAGTTAATAGGCAAAGAAGAAGACAAAACAAATTATTTTTACTTAAATTGTATAAGATTCAAATTTTTTTTCATGCTCAAATTTTGCTTGGAAAAATTATATCTTTTAATAATGAATTATCTTTGTGTGTTTAGCCTGGAAGCAATAATTCAACACATAACAGTTTTTAAACAAACGTAAAGAATTTCATGGTTTAATCTAGAAAACTGAATAAATGTTCTTATCTTTTGTTATATAAATACTATGTGCTGAATGATCGAAAAACATAGAGATGTATAAAACCATTTCAAAGTGATTTATTTTTTATGCAAAAGTGATATTGCTTTTAAAGACGATGTCAAATGTTTTCATCTAATTCTATAAAAGCTAACCATTCTTTTTCATTGGCTGTCGATATAATACAATCGTAACAATGTAATCATGGTTTATAAATTATGTTGTTGATGTTTCATAGTGCTTGAAAAATTCTACAAAAAGGCGTTTGTATATTTTTGCAAATTGGTTTATCTTGGAGATTTTATTGGAGTGGCTTCAAAAATGGATACCCAAAACCAAATTTACTGTTAGAATTTAGAAAAGCGGTAGATTTCTGAATTCAATCGGTAGGCGGGAGATGGAGTAAGAGTTGTATCTCAAAAAAAAAAAAAGGGAGAGTTACATGTATTGAGAATTAGCGGAACACATAATATAAAGATTAAATTAATATTAGATAATTCAAAGTAATTCTTAAGGTCAGACAACACGTTCCTCAAATATATGTTTTGTATCTCTGTTATTATATCAAAAATTATTCATATTTGTCATTCTCTTCTGATTTCTACATTGTTTTTAAATTGTTTTTAAATATAAGTACACAAAAAATTGTGTTAAAGGCCATTTAGAAGATTACCCATAAGGGCTATATAAGAAATATTACCCTATGCTATCTTAGCCAAATGCCTGGTAAGGTATCCTAATTTTTTGTGAGGAAGCTTGTTTAAGTACCTAGACTTCAATGACAAATTCTTAGGAAAAATTATATATTTTTGAGGAATGTGTCGTCTGACCTTAATAAATTGATTGATTGATTGTTTGTGTGTTTTATTTAAGGAATGAAGCTAATTTCAACTTATGTTATCTGATATAACATAACTTGGTTTACGCTTTATAAACCGTAATTATTCATTCCTTATAGTTTAATTTCAGTGTAGACAATTAGACAATATTTCTTCCGGAAAAAGGTGTCAAATTGAGCATTATTTAAGAAATAAATAACCTCCGAGGTCGAGAAATGTTGTTTGAAAGATAAAAGCCGAGGCGTTAGCCGAGGCTTTTATATTTCAAACAACATTTCAAGACCGAGGAGGTTATTCTGCACCATTCACGACAACAAGGACTTTATTTCTATTCTACCAAAGGCGATAAATACGGCTGATTGTTTCCTCTATAGAGAAACGAATTAGGTCACCATGTCTCAATTACGCTGTTCTATTTAACACCAGAGAGAAATTTTGTTGACTTACCTATATATATGGAATGCAGACGATTTGAGCTTTCGTTGCATTAAAAATAGTCTTTATAAATTCCAAATTTGTTGGTAATATGTATTGATCAGTTACAATGAATATACAAAAACAAAATCATGTTCTTGTTTTACTGCTAAAATCATGTTGTTTAATGTGTAGGGAGATCCGTGGAATAGCCCCGCTTAGCTATAAAATCCGACATTTATCAGCAACTTGATGCAATTTACAGTGTATATACTGCAAAAGACGACACATCGATGCGGTCTAAACAAGTATTTCATTCTACAGCCAAACATGCATTTGAATTGTTCAGATTTGATACGTGTTTCTGATCTGATAATTTTTTGATGACGTTCGTGATTTATTGGAGAATAATGTCCGGCGGCTTCCTTTGAAGTTTTCAATAACCATGGTAGAATTTAAAAATAACGTTAAGCAGAGTAATACGTTTTTGACGTAACTCATTGTGACGTAGGCAAGTTATGTTATACAAAGTATTATATGTTCCTTTGAATGATTCAGCCAATGAAATTGCTTGATACATGTACAAGTGAAATTAAATTATTTCAATTTAATTAATTATAAAGCAGGTAAATAGTGATGTCGTGATCATCAAAAATCTTGAATATCACTGTGATGCTTTGACCACGCAACAGTTCATTCTGTGACCCGGCCAACAGTTCGACTGTTTCATAATCACGCAAAAACATTAAATAAACGTGAAACAGTTGAAAATGCCTAATAACAAATTATACAGTAGGTTAGGTAATAATGAATAAATATTGATTGTGGCCCACAACATTAGCATGATTAGAGAAGTAGAATGGTACAAACAAGTCGATGCTCATATGTTTGAAATTTTGTTTATTAAGATTTTTCTCCCATCCATGATCCTGGTAGTTGCTGATGCCTGATGCTAAATTACAGAATTAGTTTAAATTAGAATGCAATAGTACCTGAACATAATTTATCTTTTCAGAGAGAAGAAAACTGACTTTAAAAGAAAACCGGTGAGATTAAATCATATGAAATGTATGATGAATCAGGATGTGATCATTTGGTAAGTGGTAGTTAATTCAATCATGAATTGGAATGTATAACAATTGCATGAAAAGAAAAAAAATGATTCAAAATTTAATAAAAAAAAAATAAATTGAAATACTGAATTTTGGTTTACCAGCTGTGAGCTACAACAAGTTTTATGTAAAAGCTAGGGCTGAATCCATATGCCCCCTCAATGATATATGTGTATTGTTTTGATTGACATACATCAGTTATCTGACACATACGAAAATTTGACCCCACGAAAATATGTGATTTTCAAACTTTGTTTAACTCAAACCTGAATTGAACAGGAAAGAACTTTGAGATCAATGAAAATAGGAAAATTAAATGCATATTTACTGAATCTTGCTGGTCAGTATTTTGTTGACTTTAAGGAAACTCTAAACACTGCACTCTAAAGAGCTCTACTTATAGGGAAGTTTTATGCAGTTAGAGTGATCTGCCCTAAACCCTTAGATTTGAGATTTCTGCTTACAAATAGTTCTATGTCTTTTTGAACATTTTCCTGTGAAATGAGGCACATACAGTACCCTACTTATATTTATTTTGATAAGTTTGTAAATATATTTTTCATTAACAAAAAACGTCAAAATTGACAAATTGAAAATTTGACAAACAATTCATGTTTTAAGAAGGGGTACATTGGCCACTCTTGTTGCCTAAAGAAGATGCATCCACTTTCAATATTGCATGTTAAGCTATACCCTGTGATTTATCAGTTTTAAGTGAATTTGGACAGAAACATATCATAGAAGAGGCCCATGGGCCACAGCTCACCTGAGTAACTTGGCTGATGCAGATCTTTACCAGATTCCCCCTCTTGCTATACCTATCATGCCCAACAAAAACCGGTGGGACTATAGGTATCTGGTAAAGAACTGCACTTTTTTTCACCCAAGTTACTCAGGTGAGCGAATGTGGCTCATATTTTTGGGCATTTTGGAATCGCTTAATTTTTTAGCTGATTGTCACCTGAGCAAGGAAAAGGCTCAAGTGAGCTTTTCTGAATCAAAATTTTCGTCCTTGTTGTTGTCGTTGTGCGTCGTCGTTAACTTTTCACATTTTCATCTTCTTCTCTATGTAAAAAATCCACTGGGCCAATTTCAACCAAACTTGGCACAAAGTAAAAGATCTAAATATTTCTATGTGTGAAGGGGATTGATTTTAATTTTTTGTATCAACTTTCTAAGGGCTCCCACATAAGTTTCATCCCTGGCCCTTTTTGATTGAGGGGAGATAATCATGAATTGGAGAGAAAAATTATTGTGGCATTTTTAAAAAATCTCCTTCTCAAGAACCACTGGGCCAGGAAAGATGAAACTCATGTTGAATCATCCTCAGGTAGGTGCCCAGTGGTTCTTGAGAAGAAGAGATTCAAGTTTGTTCAACTTCAAATTCATGACCCTGAGAAGAAGTCGAAAATGGGGTTTACGGACGGGGGTCTAGGGGCTTTTCTGTAAAAATGGCCGATCAAAGTTTTACATAGGAATATATAGAGAAAAAGAAATATATCTTTAAAAATCTTCTTCTCAAGAACCACTGGGCAGGAAAGGAAAGATAAAACCCATTTTAAAGTCAGAAAAGGGAATAGTGCCATGATAGGTATCAGGTAAAGAAGTGTTACTCAGGTGAGATTCAAGTTTGTTCAGGGTCATGACCCAAAATTTGTCCGGTTGGGTAGGGCAGGGCCAAAATGGCCAATCAAGATTATACACTGATAAATTTAGGAAAAATCTTTAAAAATCTTCTTTTAAAGAACCACAAGGCCAGGAAAGATGAAACTCATGTGGAATCATCCTCAGGTAGTGAAGATTCAAGTTTGTTCAAGTCATGACCCCCGGGGGTAGGTTGGGGCCAAAATGGCCGATCAAAGTTTTACATAGGAATATATTGGAAAAATCTTTAAAAATCTTCTTCTCAAGAACAAATGGAAGACAAAAGATGAAACTCATGTGAAAGTATCCTCAGGTAGTGTAGATTCAAGTTTGTTCAAGTCATGACCGCAAGGAAGGGTGTGGCAAAAATGGCTGATCAAAGTTTTACATAGAAATATATACTAGGGAAACCTTTTAAATCTTCTTTTCAAGTACTTAAAAGCCAGGATTAGTAATATTTGTATGGAAACATCCTGAGGTAGAAATATATAGATTCTAGTTCAGGATTCAAATTATGAAACCCCTAAGGTAATCTTGATCCCCTTTGGGGTTAAAATTCAAGCCCCCCCCCCCCCCCCCCCAACTTAAGTTAACTTTAAGTTCTGATCTGATATGTGTTTTTTTCCTAGCTGATGTGCTCAGGTGAGCGCTGTGGCCCCTGGGCCTCTTATTTGTGTGTGTGTGTGTGTGTGTGTGTGTGTGTGTGTGTGAGTGTGTTCAGTTTGTTATATTTGAGCTTTTATATATTTTAGAGGCATTCACCAATGTCATTACTAATGACAAACAAGAGAAACGGAGACGGGAGAATGGAAAGACTGATCTTCACAGACAGCAGTCAAAACAAAGCAAAAAAAAAGCGTTCAGTAAGTCTAATTTGCTAAAAACTATATAAAAAAATGATCTTTTGGGATTTATTTTTAAACTAATCGGCCTACATATCAAAGATATTTGTTAATTAATAGTCCTCTTTCATCATGTGTAGCAGGTTTGTAGAGGAATTCAATATTCTTTGAAATTTATGATATTTTGTGTCAATCAGAATTTTTACAAAACTAAGGTCACATAGTTCATTATCATTAATACTTGTATGTAGATATGTTTTAAAAAGTCTGTATGATTAACTATGCACTTTTTTCCCTCAGAAACTGGAAAGAAGAAAGAAGGCTGTGGAATATCTTAAGTTATCTAGACGAGTCATTGCCCCAACATCTAAAAAGAACTTGACGGAGTGCCTTCAATTGGACATAACTTCACCCGAGAAGACTGATGACAAAAACTCAACAAAGAGGGTCAGGCTTCCATTTCCCTGGAAATCAACCAGACTGTGCAAGGGAAAAGAGGCACTGGACAAGGCATATAGACACAAGGTCCTGAAGACCGAATCTGCAGATGCCAGTTGGTATTTGTAAAGGATGGTAGAGAGGACACAACAACACCTCCTACTGAGAAGTGTCCACTTTTGGCCATTTCCAGGGATTACTCCTCATAGAGGTAATTAATTTTCTCAGATATTTATTAGCTCTTCTGAGGTGTGCGTCGTGCGGTGTGCATTAACTTTTTAGCTCACATGAGCCGAAGGCTCAAGTGAGCTTTCATGTATCTGTTCAAAATTTGTCTGTTGTCTGTCATTGTCTTAGTCATTGTTGTTGTCATCATCGTTGTCATCGTCATTTGCTTTTCACATTTTCATCTTCTTCTCAAGAACCACTGGGCTAATTTTAACCAAACTTGGCACAAAGTATCCTTGGGTGAAGGGGAATCAAGTTTGTTTAAATTAAGGGCCACACCTTTTTCCAAGGGGAGATAATTATGAATTAGAGAAAAATTAATGGCATTTTAAACAAATCTTCTTTTCAAGAACCAATGGGCCAGGAAAGGTGAAATTATTTGGAATTATCCTAAGATAGTGTAGATTCAAGTTTGTTCAAATCAGACCCCCGGGAAAGGGTAGGGCCAAAATCGGCGACCCAAGTTTTACATAGGAATATATAGGAAAAATCTTTAAAAATCTTCTTCTCAAGAACCACTGGGCCAGGAAAGATTAAACTCAAGTGGAATCATCCTCAGGTAGTGTAGATTCAAGTTTGTTCAAATCATGACAGGGCTCGACATTAACTTTTTAGGTCACCTGAGTAACTCAGGTGACCTATTGTATGTATCTCAAGTACTTATTGGCTTAGAATTATGAAACTTTGTCAGTTGATGCGTCTTGGGTTTTCGGAAATCACGGATTAAAAAGTAGGTCACAGTGACCCACTTTTGACATTTTATGGCTTTATTTAAGTATCTCAGGTACTTATTGGGTTAGAATCATCAAACTTTGTCATTTGACGCATATTGGGTTTTTCGAAGCATGTTTACCAAAATGTAGGTCACAGTGACTTACAATTTCGAATATCTCAGGTACTGATTGGCTAAGAATCATCAAACTTTGTCAGTAGATGCATCTTGAGTTTTTGGAGAATGTTGCCAAACAATTGGTCACCATGACCTAATTTTATGACTATATTTAAGTACCATGGGTACTTACTTGTTTAGAATCATCAAACATTGTCAATTCAAGCATCTAGGGTTTTCCGAGAATGATGATTGAAAAATAGGTCATGGTGAACTACTTGTGACATTTATTGCTATATTTAAGTATTCTAGGGTACATATTGGCTTAGAATTGTCAAACTATGTCAGTTGATGCACCTTGGGTATTTGGAGAATGCTGACCAATAAGTAGGTCACTGTTACCCACTTTTGAATATCTCAAGTACTTACTGGCTTAGAATCATCAATCTTTTTCAATTAATGCATCTTGTGTACTCAGAAAATTTAAATCAAAAAGTAGGTCACCATGACCTTCTTATAGTATTCTATAGTTACATTTAAACAATGTTAAATATCTTCAGTCTTAACTGGGTAAGAATCATCAAACTTTGTCTGATGATGCATCCTTATACCCCTTCAAATGAAGTTTAGGGGGTATATTGGAATCACCATGTCCGTCTGTCTGTCCATCTGTCTGTAGACAAGATTTTGTCCGTTTCTCAGAAACTGTTTGATGGATTAGTCTGAAAAATTAAACACTTATTATTCACCATATGAAGGTGTGCACCTGGTATTTTCATCATGATTGAATGATTTTTTTCTGCAAAATTTTACAGGCATTTTTTAGCTCACCAAGTGAACTTTTCTGGATTAGGAAACATTTTGATGAAAAATATTAATACTCCAGAAAATTTGTCTGTCCACACGTCCGTCTGTCATTTCCGTCTGTAAACTTTTCACAAAAACTTTGGATGACTTTTCTCAACGGAATGAACCACTTTCAATTTTGACCAAATAAAATTCTTTTACAAAGCATTCTTACACAACAAGGTTAAAGGAAAATTTAAATTGTTAAAATGAAGGGACATATCCCATTGCAAGGGGAGATACTGTAGAAATAATTTTAAATTTTTGTGAAAGACCTTATTTTCGCGAGATAGTCATTGACTCTTGATTAACGAGACATAATTTTCGCGAATTGCGGTTATTGCTTTATATATTCATAAGGAATACTATTATACGCGAGAATTAAATTTTCGCGAGCACATTGTCTCGCGTAATTACGCGAAAATAAAGTTCTCGCATTGTTGGGTAAAGGAATAAAAAGTGATTTACAGTAATCAAGGAAAGACAAAAATAGGGTGGGGTCATTAAAAAATCTTCTTCTTCTCAAGAACCACTGGGCCAGTAAAGCTGAAACTTATGTGGAAGCATCCTGGGGTAGTATAGATTCTAAATTGTTCAAATCATGACCCCCAGGGGAAGGGCGGGGCCACAATGAGGAACCAAATTTTTACATAGAAATATATAGGAAAAATCTTTGAAAACCTTCTCAAGAACCACTGGGCCAGAAAAGCTGAAAATTTTATGGAAGCAACCTGGTATAGTGAAGATTCTAAATTATTCAAATCATTACCAATTGTGAAATTCACCTGAGTCAATCAGGTGACCTATTGCTATCTGTTTTTGTCCGTCGTCATCCGTCGTTCGTCTTTCGTTGTCAATCGGTTGTAAACTTTTGAACATTTTCAGCTTCTTCTCTGCAACCACTGAACCAATTTCAATCAAATTTGGTACAAAGCATCTATGGGTAAAAGGGAACAAAAATTGTGAATTTCATCATCCCTACCCCCCTGGGGCCTGGGGGGTGGGGCCAAAACCACTTAAATTAATGCAATCTTTAAAAATCTTCTTCTTTACTCCTGGACATCAAGCAGTCAAACTGTTTGCATGATTGTAATCAGCATTGAGTCCTCTATCAAAATTGTGAAATTCATGGCCCTGGGGTCAGGGGTTCTTGTGCTAGGGCGGGGCTAAATAAGTATATAGTGAAAATGCATTATTTCTTTGAAAAACTTCTTTTCTGCTCCTGAATATTAAATAAACTAACTAAGTACATAGTTTTAATGAGCAAGAGTGCCTCAACAAAAATTGTGAATTATGGCCCCAGGGTCAAGGGTTCTGATGTTAGGGCGGGGCTCTATTGATTATATTGAGAAAATACATGAATTCTTTGAAAATCTTCTTCTTTAATCCTGGGCATTAAAAAAACTAACTAAGTAATATATAGTTATGATGAGCAAGAGTGCCTCTACCAAAATTGTGAATTTGATGGCCCCAGGGTCAGGGGTTCTGGTATTAAGGCGGGGCTGTATTGATTATATAGTAAAAATACATGAGTTCTTTGAAAATCTTCTTCTCTGCTCCTAGATGTTATATAATTTAACTAAGTACATAGTTATGATGAGCAAGAGTGCCTCTACCAAAATTGTGAATTTTATGGCCCCAGGGTCAGGGGTTCAGGTTTTAGGGTGGGGCTCTATTGATTATATAGTGAAAATACATGAATTCTTTGAAAATCTTCTTCTCTGCTCTTAGGTTTTAAATAAACTAAGTACATAGTTATGATGAGCAAAAGTGCCTCTACCAAAATTGTGAATTTTATGTCCCCATGCAGGGTCAAGGATTTTGGTGTTAGGGCGGGGCTGTATTGATTATACATGTATAGTGAAAAAACCTTGAATCTTTGAATATTTTCTTCTTTGCTCCTAGGTTTTAAGCAGATGAACTACCTATATAGTTATGAGTAATCCATAATCTTCAAGAATTGTAAATTTCAAGGCCCCAGGGTCGGTTGTACCATAGAGGGGGGGGGCTGTACTTATATACTGAAAATGAATGAATTGTTTGTAATGTGCTCCTTGGTATTAATCAAATATTTTTGAAAAGCAAGGATGCCTTTCCAAAAATAGTGCAATGTGAGGATCTAGGCCTAAGAGTCAGGGGTTCATGTGTGGTAGTGGCACTACTGATTATTGCTGAATATTACTGATTAGTTGAATTGCATTTTTTGTTCCCCTACCCTGCCTATGGATCAAATTCAAGCACTGGAATGTTGTTGAATAATGCTCAGGTGACCTATAAGGCCCATGGGCCTCTTGTTATTTTGTGACTTTGTTTGGCTCATAACTAAAAACTATTAGACTTACAATCATCAAACTTGGATAATTTATGCATCTTGGGTAGACAGTGTGTCATGACCTATTTCAAGGTCACTGTGACCTTTTATTTAAGTGATTTTTTAAAAAAAAATGTCTTTAAAATTTTAAATTTTATAATCCTAAAAAATGTAAAAATATAGTTGTATCCTTATTAAAAATGCTAAATTAAGTAAAAACTTATTTTTTATCATATACTTTACAGCAAATTCTGTAACAAATGTTAATGATTTGAAAGGAATTCAGTTTGTCCCATGGGCATAATTATCAAGCACTGGTCAAGGAGAAATTTTGATAGCAGAAATGTGCATGTCAAATTAGAGAGAAATTAATGAGTTCATTGTCGGGAGTTAACTAACAAGAGCATCATGCTGTGTTATCTTAATTTATGTCTTGGGAGTTGGGCAAAAAGAAATGACCTTATAGTTGCTTGTGTTAATTAAGAGTTCTTGATGGCTATAGTTCAGATAAAGATCTTTCAATTGGTGTAATGTAATTAAAACAAATTGATGTTTTAGTGTATGATTAAAACTGAATTAGTATTGAATAATATAATTGAAATTAATTGTACATGTGTTCATTTAAATAAAAATAACATTTCAATTTTTATATATTTGCAACAAATTGCAGTCTTGTCTCACTTAGAATTTTATAGTCTAAAGAATAATTAATTTCTGATTTTTTTTATTAGACTGTAGCATTTCCATTATTTCATAAAATATGCAATAAACAATTGAAAGCTGCAGATGGATATTTGTTAAGCTCTAACACAGCCAGTTTAGAATTATATGATGTATTATTTGTTTTAATTAATCCCTACACTGTTAGTCTCTTAGAGATGTATGCTGTACAATATTTTAAGCATGATAAGAAATGGAAATTCGATCATTGAAATCTGTGTTAATCTGTTAATCAAGGTTACTTGATTTTCTTGCACCCTTATCAATTTATGATTATAGAACAATATTTGTTGGGGGTATCATTCTGTGGCGGGGCACTTTATTAGACAATAGTGAACACTTCTTACAAGATCCATAAAATATTTCTGTATTGGCACCTACTCTGAAAAGCCCAGCGGGGGTATTTGTCCCTATTGGACAGTTCTAGTTGGTCTTAGGATAGGTTGTAAAATTTATCAGAAGAGCGATTCAAGGCCCATGGGCCTCTTGTTTATTTTTACCTTTCATATTATTGTGTCAAACTTTTATAAATTCATTTAACTTCCCTTTTTAAGTGAACAAAAAGATCAATACCATTTGAAATATTAAGGATGTGTTATTTTTTGCTTGGAAGTACTGAAGTCTGATTATATTGAAGCATTTTCTATGGCCTTCTTTTGATGATAGTGTAGGGTCTCCGTGTCTAACCAATTGTGTACTATTATTATAAGAAAAGGAGCAACATCAAACAATAGTAGGGTAAAATACACGTCAATGTGACCTCTTTTTGGAAATTATGCCTGTACATCCTTAAATAATCTGTGGATCACATCTTATCTTTGAATCTGAGAGAATCAGATTTTGGAAATTTAACATATCAGATGTTTTTATAATAACTCATATCCTTATGACCAGAAAACTTGGTTTTTTGATGGAGATAAGAATTACTTTACAATCATTTTAATTTGTGGGGGGTCTATTTTTGTGGGTAAGAGAAATTTTGTTGGTTCTTGGGAATGTAATTTTGTAAGTAATTAGTATATTCAGAAGATTCACTGAACACAACTTTTCTGTTGAAGATTTTCTTCCCAACTTCCCTAGAAGGACAGCTTATTCAATGAATGGGATGTATTATAAACACCAAAAAATTACTTAAGCTAAATTTTAACTATTTTTTTTATTCCTTGTAGGTCAAACGAGGATTCAGCTATCAAAAGAATACAAGAAAAAGAACTTTTTTTAATTCTGTGGTTGGGGATTTCCAGATCTAAGTATTGATAGTTGTTTTTTTTTTTTTATGTACCTGTAATCAACAGTTCAGGGTATGTAGTTTTTGCATTGTTGGTCTGTCTGTCTGCAAAAGTGTAAACCATGCAGGCCTAAAGCTTTTGAGTGATGGGGCAACTGATTTCACAGACGTATTTTTAGTGACCAGACTTGTTGACCTCTTTACATGGACCTTTGAGTTTCATCCACTTTTAACAAAAAAATTAAACTGTATTCTTGGCCACAACTTTCAAATAGTTGATGCTTATTGCATTCCATTCGACAAGACTTTCAACAGGTATAAATATTTTTTGACATTGACCTTCGAGTTGGACTCACTTTTAAAATATTTTAACCTTGGACAGAACTTTTAAAAAGTACTAAGGCTTTCATTTCAACAGTGAAAAAACCTTTCTCTCGATACCAACATTTTTTACCTTGACCTTTGACTTGCAAATAAGAAACTACAACACACATAGTAAGCTGTCATTTCCGGGCATCAGTATTTCACAAACACATTTTTAATTCAACAAGCAAATTCAAAGAATTGTGGTCCCCCGTTTTCAGTTTCTTTTGGGTGAGATGTCATATTTTATGACATTTTGCGTATAATATGAATGCCTTATCATAAGTTATCTATTTAGGAATTATCACTGAACTTCAAGGCTAATGTAAAATGGTTAACATTCTTGTATACAATGAAAAGTTTTCTCAAAAGGATTACATACATGAAGTATGAAAGCCTAGCCCTTACCATTCAAAAGTTTTCTCATAAGTACTAAAAATCTCAAAGGTTGAAAGGTCAAGGTTGTTGGTTTCAAAGGAAAGGTCTTTCCACAAAAAATACATTTGTGAAGTATGAAAGTTCTGGTATCTACTGTTCAAAAGTTGTGGCCAAGGTAAAAGTTTTTGAAAAGTAGGTCAAATTCCAAGGTCAAGGTCCAGAAGGCAAGTTCTTGGCATACAATGAAAAGTCTTCTCACAAGAATTATAAATTTGAAGTATGAAAGCCATTACCATTCTAAACTTTTGGTTAAGGTTAAAGTTTTCTTATAAGTACAGAAACATCCTAGGTCAAGGTCAGAAGGTCAAAGTTGTTGGTATCCAATAAAAGGTCTTCCTACAAAAAATACATATGTGAAATATGAAAGTCCTAGTACCTTCCATTCAAAAGTTATGGCCACAGTCAAAGTTTGGAATTTTTGTGTAAAATTGGGTCAAACTCCAAGGTCAAGGTCAACAGATCGAATTTGATGGTACCCAAAGATAGTTCTTGTCTTAAGGAATACACATATGAAATATGAAAGTCATGGCTCCACTAAATCAAAAGTTACGGGCAAGGTTAAAGTTTTATGTGACGGATGGACATCTAGATAGACGGACAGACAAATGAGATTTAATATCCCCTCGCTTTCCGGAAAACAGGGGACAATTATTAATAGCTTTAAGCCGTTCAAGCAGTAGAATACAGTAGAATTCAGAGGCTATATTTTGTCAATACCCCAAGAATCGGATACTATGATTATGAAAGTAAATTTCTGTTTTTCATTTATATTCATCATTTGATAGTCGATGCGATACCTTGATTTTAATGTCCTGTTCACAGGATGAGTTTAATTTGCAGTAAATTAATGCAAAGTAAACAAATGCCAATCAAACTAAAAAGAATTAAATTGCATTCACACAACAGCTAATGGGAAGTAAGGCTATTATGACGTCATTTGCAAATTGCGTCACCTAATGCAGGAGCAGCTGCAATTGACATAATATTACAGTGTCTGTATACACATTTTAGTAATTAAAACAATTTTCCTTAGTTTTTACTTGAAAATAGCACAAATACTTCAATTTGACTACAGACATGTGGTATTTGACTAATTTTGTCATTACGCATGCCTCAAAATTTAATTGGAATCAGCTTCGCATAGCGTTCACATGGAGCTAATGCGAAGTAATTAATGTGCTGTAAACTAATTAGAATTAAACTAATTTGTATTAAATTCTCCATGTGAACGCTAAGCAAAGCTAATTCCCAGTAACTTATGTCTAATTCGAATTAAATTCTCCGTGTGAACAGGGCATAAATATCAATAGTCACTAATTTGGTTTTCATGTATAAAATATTTATATGATAGTAGCTAAATTACCTGGCCAAGTTTGTATTTTTGTTTTACATAAAGATGCAGTGTTGATGTTTTGACATATTTTTGTAAAAATTGTTATGCTTTTTCATAGATTGATTTTTATAATACTGTAGTAACTTAATTGAGTCCCTGAATGTCAGTAGTCACTTATTTGGTTTTAATTTATAAAATATTGTATTTTTTATAATTATAGTATTGTAACTAAAACCAAGACATGATTTTCTTTTACTTTGTACATATACAATGTCGATGCTTTGATATATCTGTAAAATTTGTTATCCTTTTTCATAGATTTATTTTGTTCGCATAACACTTAAGTACATGTAACTGAATTGAGTAACTATTTTTCATTTTTGTGAATTTGAATAGATAGTTTTATTAATATAATATCTGAGAATACAAATGCATCATACTTGAAATTTGTTTTGCTGTTTACTTTATCCTCAAGGTTCATGCATCAATATTCAATAACAAATGTACCCCACCTGAGAAACTTAAAGATTTTCATAATCCAGTGTGAGAAATTTAAGAAAATTCATCAAGAAAGAAAATAAATTCATTCAAATTCCATTAAGGGAAACCCCAAGATTCCTGATAAGTTTCCATGATGCGGAAACTACTAACTTTCAATTCCCTTAGTTTTCCAACCTATGGAAACTCAAGCTTTACTACCAGTATATGAATCCAAACAGTTTCCTAATCATGGAATCTTTAAGATTCCCGACTAGTTTCCCATCCATTGAATTTCCATAAGGTATCCCAAGACACAGAAGCTTGTGGAATCTTCAGGTTTCCTTATGGTATCCAAATGGTTTTCAAAACATGGAATTCTTGAGATTCCCAACTAGTTTCCCATCCACAGAAACACTCTACGTTCCGATTCCATTAGGTATCCAGATACACGGAAACCAGTGGAATTTTTAAGATTCCCATACAGGAAACTTACAGAATCAAGGGAAACCTCGCGATTCCACTGCATTCCAAGCCACGGGATACCTATTGGAATACAAGTGTAGGGTGTTTCCATTGCACAGAATCAAGGAGGAATAACCCAGTATCCTGCATGAAACCACAAGGAACCATAATGTAATCTAGAAGTTTCCATAAGGTTTCCAACATTGGGAAACTGGTTTTTTCACTCAGTACTAAGTACTACAAGTCAGCCAAGAGACGAATATCCTAGGCTATTGATATGGTCTACGGAGTACTACAAGACAGGTAGGAGACCAGTACCCTAAGCTATTGATACGGTCTACCAAGTACAACAAGATTGGTAAGAGACCAGTACCCTAGGTAAGGGAACAGTACCCTAAGCAATTGATACACTAGTACACCGAGTACAACAAAACAGGCAAAAGTCTAGTACCCTAGGCCATTGTATGATACGGTCTACCGAGTTCCACAAGACTTGTAAGAATCAAGTACCCTGGACTATTGATACAGTACTGAGAACTATGAAACTGGTAAGAGACCAGTACCCTAAGCTATTGATACGGTCTTGCGAGTACTACAGGACAGATAAAAATCCAGTAAACTTGGCTATTGATACAGTCCTCTGAGTACTACAAGACAGGTACATTGTACTAAGAGTCCAGAACCCTAGGCCATTGTATGATACAGTCTACCAAATACTAAAAGACTTGTAAGAATCCAGTACCTTAGGCTATTGATACAATCTACTGAGTACTACAAATCTGGTAAGGGACGTTTCCTAGGATATTGATACGGTCTACCGAGTACTACAGGACAAGAAAAAGTCCAGAACCTTTGGCTTTTGATATGGTCTACTAAGTACTATAAGACAGATACAGTAGGGGACCAGTACCTTAGGCTATTGGTAGGGTATACCGAGTACTACATGACAGGTAGGAGACCAGTACCCTAGGCCATTTATATGGTCTACTAAGTACTACAAAACAGGAAAGAGCCCAGTACCTTAGGCTATTGATATGGTCTACCGAAAACTACAAGACAGGAACTAAGAGTCCAGTACCTGAGTCCATTGTTAAGTTCCACCAAGTACTACAAGATAGGTAAAAGTTAAGTACTCTTGACTATTGACATCATCTACCAAGTACTACAAGACTTGTTAAAATCCAATACAATAGGGTATTGATACAATATACTGAGTACTAAAAAAAGTAGACCAGTACCCTAGGCTATTGATAAGATCTACCGTGTACTATAAGACTTGTAAGAATCCAATACGATAGGCTATTGGTACGGTCTATGAAATTCACAGGACGGTAAGAAAACAGTACCCTGGGCTATTGAAAAGGTCTACCGAGTACTACAAAGCAGGTAGGAGAACAATAGCCTAAGCTATTGATACGGTCTACGAAATTCTACAGGACAGGTAAGAGAACAATACTATAAGCTATTGATACAGTCTACCAAGTACTACAGGACAGATAAGATAACAATACCCTAAGCTATTGATACAGTCTACCAAGTACTACAGGATAGGTAGGAGAAATGTACCCTAAGCTATTGATACAGTCTACTCAGTACTACAAGACAGGTAGGAGAACAGTACCTTAAGCTATTGATACAGTCTACAAAATTCTAAAGGACACATACGAGATCATGCAGTACCCTAAGCTATTGATACGGTCTACCAAGTACTACAGGACAGGTAGGAGAACAGTACCCTAGGTTATTGATACGGTTTACTGAGGTTTACTGAGTACTACAAGACTGGTAGGAGACAAGTACAATATAGTCTATTGAGTGCTACAAGAGAGGAACTAAGAGTACAGTACCATAGGCCATTGATAGGGTCTACAGAGTACTATAAGCCTGGTAAGAATACAGTTTTTTTAGGCTACTGCATCAGATACGGTCCACTGAGTATTACAAAACTGGTAAGAGTGTCCAGTTTCCTGGCCTATTGATTCAGTCTACTTAGTACTACAAATCTGGTAAGAGACCAGTATCCTAGGCTATTGATAAGGTCTACTGGGTACTACAAGACAGGTAAAAGTGCTGTATCCAAGGCTATTGATATGGTCTTCCAAGAACAACATCAGAGGTAGGAGTCAAGTTCCTTTGGTCATTGATACTGTCTACTGAGTAATAATTTAATTTCACTTGTATCAAGCAATTTCATTGGCTGAATCATTCATGAGAACATGTAATATTTTGTATAAAATAACTTGCCTACTTCACAATGAGTAACGTCAAAAACGTATTACTCCGCTTGACGTTACTTTTAGAATAATTCTCAATTTTAAGCCTTTTTCCGGAGGAAATGTTGTCTCATTGTCTAATCTGAAATTAAATTATAATGAATGAAGCTAATTTAAACTGATGCTATCCGACAAATAACAAAACTTGGGACAGTTTACGCTTTCGTATAAACCGCTTCGGGGTTAATAAAGTGTAAACTGTCCCAAGTTATGTTATATCGGATAAAATAAGTTGAAATAAGCTTCATTCCTTAATTACAAGACCGGTTAGAGACCAGTACCCTCGGTTATTGATACGGTCTACTGAGTTCTATAAGACAGGTAAAAGTTCTGTACCCTAGGCTTTCGATATGATCTTCCAAATACTACATCACAGGTAACAGTCCAATACCCTAAGATATTGATACAGACTACTTAGTACTACTAGATAGGTAGGAGACCAGTACCCTAGGCCATTGATATGGTCTACCGAGTACTATAAGACTGGTATGAGACCAGTACCCTAGGCTATTGATACCGTCTACTCAGTTCTTTAAGACTGGTAAGAGACAAGTATGCTAGGCTATTGATACGGTCTACTGAGTACTGCAACACAGGTACGAGACCAGTACCCTAGGCTATTGAGACGGTCTACCAAGTACTATTGGACAGGTAGGAAATGAGTGCCCTAGGCTATTGATATGGTCTACTGAGTACTACAAGACAAGTACTAAGATTCCAGTACCCTAGACTATTGAGAGGGTCTACCATGTTCTGTTGGACAGGTAGGAGACAGTCTCAACCAGTACCCTAGACTATTGATATGGTCTTCCGAGTACTACAAGACTTGTAAGAATGCAGTACCATAGGCTATTGATATGGTCCACTAAGTACAACAGGACAGTTTGGAGACCATTACCTTAGGCTATTGATAGTGTCAACTGAGACAAGTAAGTTCCTAGACAGTATCAATAGCCTAGAGTAATGGTCTCCTAACTGTCTTGTAGTACTCGGTAGCCCGTATCAATGTCCTAGGGTAGTAGTCTCCTACCTGTCTTGTTTTATTTGGTAGACCATATCAGTAACCGTATTAATAGCCTAGAGTACTGCTCTCTAACCAGTCTTGTATTACTCGGTAGACTTTATCAATAGCCTTGGGTACTGGTCTCTTACCTTTCTTTTAGAATTTGGTAGACCGTATCAATAGCTTTGGGTACTTTTCTCCTTCCTGTGTGGAAGTACTCTGTAGACAGTATCGATAGGGTACTGATCTATTACCTGTCTTTTAGTGCTAAGTAGACCGTATTAATGGCTGAGGGCACTTTTCTCCTACCTGTGTTGTAGTACTCGGTAAACTGTATCAATAGCCTAGGGTACTGGTCTCCTACCTGTCCTGTAGTACTCGGTAGACCGTATCAACGGCCTTGGGTACTGATCTCCTGGCTGTCCTGTACGTAGTACTCGGTACACCGTATTAATGTTCTTGGTGTACTGGCCTCGATCCAGTCGTGTAGTACTCGATAGACCTTATCAATAGTCTAGGGTACTGGTCTCATACCAGTCTTGTAGTACTCGGTAGAGCATATCAATAGCCTAGGGTGCTCGTCTCCTAACTGCCTTGTATTTGGTAGACCATATCAATAGCCTAGGGTACTGTTCTCTTACTTGTCCTGTAGTACTCAGTAGACTGTTTCAATAACCTAGGATACTGGTCTCTTACCTGTTTTGTAGTACTCAGTAGACCGTATCAATACCCTATGGTGCAAGTGTCTGACCTGTCCTGTAGTACTCGGTAGACTGTATCAATAGCTTTTGATACATGACTCCTAACGGTCCTGTAGAACTCGCTGGACCATTTCTATTGCACGCCAAATTCACGAAAATGAGATTATCATAGTTTTACAATCCATAAACTAGGTTTATTGGTTGTAAACTATAGTTTACGGACTGTAAACTATAATTAACAACGTTAATCTATATTTTACATCTGTACATTATAGTAACTGCGATAATCTATGTTTCACAACCGTAAACTATACTTAACAGCGAAAACTATCATTTGCGATTGCGAAACATAAATTATCTGATAAATACAGTTTAACGATTTGTAAACTATAATTTACAAACCGTTAACTATAGCGAACGATCTGAGAAATATAATTTCACGATTTGTAAAACTATGATTAACAACTCTTAACTATAGTTAATCAACAAAATCTATTGTCTATTCAGA